GTTTTATCAGTTTACTCTTAACATTTGCAATGTCTTCTTAAACACACTAAATAACAACTTATTTGCATTGAGGCGGCACAATGTATCCGTTGATTTTTGTCCTCAATATTGTATTAAAAGCTGAAATAAGTGTATATATGTCCTTACAGTATATATTTATAGATTCATTTATAAATACCGTTTTAAGTATTTAATACTGAAAATAGATATTTTTTCCTTTATATTTTAATCAAAACATCTGTAGGATTTAAGGTGGGAGAAATAGTTATTCATAATCTGCTTCAGTTTATTTCTTAAAACAATATTTCTTAAATTACTCACCACATTTATTCTTGGTATTGTACACGAGGTTCAAGGACTCTGGGGCTGCTGTTGCCGTGTTCTCTCGCCTTTAAATGTTAAAGTTGGTCAAGTTTCACCCCTTGTTATTTGAGCCCGACTAGTCATGTATGCAAATGGCGGAACCAAAAGAGGAGAGTATGTTTGAACTTTACAGTCTCTGGTGAGAACAATTGGGGGCTGGACGGTAGAGCGACCGTCTCGCTTCCTGCAGGTCGTGCAGTAAAGCCTTTATCATGTTCCCTTACAAGTCGTAATGGTTATATAGTCGTAATGGTTATATAGTCGTAATGGTTATATAGTCGTAATGGTTATATAGTCGTAATGGTTATATAGTCGTAATGGTTATATAGTCGTAATGGTTATATAGTCGTAATGGTTATATAGTCGTAATGGTTACATAGTCGTAATGGCTTGGCGCTTTCTCCTGATAGTTTCCTTCCCCTTCATGTGAACGCTGTATTCACACACATACACACATACACATACACGTGGCGTGAAGTCACCAGTGGAGTCCCTCAGGGCTCTGTACTCGGTCCTATCCTGTTTCTGATACACGTAAATGATCTCCCAGAGGGTATTAAACTCATTCCTCTCAATGTTTGCTGACGATGCCAAAATTATGAGAAGGATTAAGACAGAGGAGGACAGCTTGAGGCTTCAAGAAGACCTAGACAAGCTGCAGGAATGGTTGAACAAATGGTTCTTAGAGTTCAACCCAAGCAAATGTAATGTACTGAAGATAGGTGTAGGGAGCAGGAGACCATATACAAGGTATCATTTGGGAGATGAAATACTTCAAGAGTCAGAGAGAGAAAGACTTGGGAGTTTATATCACGCCAGACCTGTCCCCTGAAGCTCATATCAAGAGGATAACATCAGCGGCATATGCCTGCTTGGCTAACATAAGAACACCCTTAAGAAACTTGTGTAAGGAATCTTTCAGAACTCTGAAAACAACATATGTCAGACCAATCCTGGAGTATGCGGCTCCAGCATGGAGTCCATATCTAGTCAAGCATATAAGACTAAACTGGAAAAGGTTCAAAGGTTTGCCACCAGACTAATACCCGAACTGAAGGGTATGAGCTACGAGGAGAGACTACGGGAATTAAACCTAACGTCACTGGGAGACAGAAGATTTAGAGGGAACATGATCACCACATACAAGATTCTCAGAGGAATTGATAGGGTAGATAAAGAAAGACAGACTATTTAACATATGGGACTCACGCACTAGGGGACACAGGTGGAAATTGAGTGCCCAAATGAATCATAGAGACGTTAGAAAGATTTTGTTCAATGTCAGAGTAGTAGACAAATGGAATGCATTAGGAAGTAATGTGGTGGAGGCTGACGCCATACACAGCTTCAGGTGTAGATATGATAGAGCCCAGTAGGCTCAGGAACCTGTACATTAGTTGACTGACAGATGAGAGGCGGGACCAAAGACCCCTAGCTCAACCCCCGCAAGCACAACTAGGTGAGTACATAAACACACGGGGACGTGGCGGCTGAGTGGACAGCGCTCGTGGGTCGTATTCCTATGGGCCCGGGTTGGATTCCCGACCGAAGCAGAAACCAATGGGCAGAGTTTATTTCACCCTGTTGCTCCTGTTCACCTAACAGAAAATAGGAACCTGGGAGTTAGACGGCTCGTGTAACTCAACTGCTGTTGTGTTGACCCACAACACATCTTAAGTCATCTTGTGTGTTGTGTGTGTGTGTATACTCATCTATCTCTACCAGCAGGATCGAGATATAGCTCTTGGACCCCAATTTTCTAGACGCCGGTTGTCTAATGCAATGCTTTCTGACCTATTTGCTAGTCTTGCCTGCATTAATAGTTGGAAATGGAGTTTGCCTCTACAACCTGGCCCTTTAGATCATTCCATTTACTCACTACCCTTATGCTCAATTAAAACTTTATATAACATTTCTACAACACATCTGAGTGGCAAGCTTCCACCTGTGGCCCCCGAGTACTATTGGGATGCATTGTAAACATTTCCTTCCTCTTTTACCACTCGGACAACCTCCCTAAGTATCGAATACGTCTATATCATGTCTCTCCTCTCTCTCTCTCTCTCGTCTTTTGTGGCATCGTCAGGTTTAGTTGTTTCTGTCTCTCTTCTTACCTCATCCCATGCAATTCTGGGATGAGTCTCGTTGCATACTTCTGCACCCTTTCCAGTTGTTTATGTGTCTTTTTTAGACGGGGGCTCTAAATGTTAGACGGGGCTCCAAATGTTAGACGGGGCTCTAAATGTTAGACGGGGCTCTAAATGTTAGACGGGGGCTCTAAATGTCTAAATGTTAGACGGGGCTCTAAATGTTAGACGGGGGCTCTAAATGTTAGACGGAGGCTCTAAGTGTTAGACGGGGGCTCTAAATGTTAGACGGGGCTCTAAATGTTCGACATACATTTGTTAGACGTTAGAGTCTAAATGTTAGACGGGGGCTGTTACGGCCCTCTCGGGACGCAACGGGGTTCTTACTCTGATGTTGTTAGAGGAAGATATATGTATCCGTTCCCAAGCCAGTAGTGGCTATCAAGGGATGAGATCCGTGACGCAAGTAACTTAAAAGGGAGTAGGGAAAGAAAGTTAAGAACTTAATATTATAATTAACACCATCACCGATTAAATATATAAAATAAAAGAGTGCACAAGGGGGAGGGGTATTAACACTTTACAAGGGGATTAATCCACAATCGATGTCTTCTGCTGAAGACGCTGGTGCCATAACTCTCGGTGCCGAGTCCTTGGTGCTTTCTTCGTGGCCGCACAACGAATTCTCCAAAGAAGTTGAGCCTACCCTGGCCACAGGTCAGCCAAAACACAGGTCCACTGGGGGCACCTCCGTGGAGGCCGTCAACCACACGTCCAGCTGGTCTGCTGGCAGGTCCTGAGCCAACAAGGCTGGTACGGCCACTCCACGAACGATAAAAGGGGAACGCCCTAGACAGGAGCCTCGTGTGACACCACAAATCACTCTCCTGTCTTCAGTACCCCAGTGGATGATCGTCTCCAACAGTCGGTCCCGGGTAAATCCTTTTACTGCCACTCCACTGGCAGGCTAACACACCACAGTGTTCTTCCGGGGGGACGACTTCACAACAGCTGCAGCAAACTTCAAGGTATGGAGACTGGCTGCCTCGGGTAGACTGACTCAACTTCCAACACAGCGGTCCCAGGTCGACTCTGTAAGCAGACACGTCATCAATAACTGGGACACACTAAGGCACCTCACTTACAGGCTCAGACACAAACGCCCACCTATCCACTCCATAGATGGCGCTGGTGTCTGACCACCACCTCACCAGAGGTCAGCAGTGGCGGTGTAGAGTGCTGAACGGGACTGGAAACTGGCCCTCGTAGCCAGTACACGTTGCCCTCTCCAGGTGTCGTCGTCCATTTGGTGGGGGTTTCGGGAGCTGACCCACAGATGGCGCGGTCGTGACTGCTCCGGGATCGGACGCTGGATCCGGGTTCGTAACAGGGGCTCTAAATGTTAAGGACATAAGAACATAAGAACAAAGGCAACTGCAGAAGGCCTATTGGCCCATACGAGGCAGCTCCTATTTATAACCACCCAATCCCATTTAGGCGGGGCTCTAAACGCTAGACGGGGCTCTATATGTTAGACGAGGGCTTCTTATGTTAACTCTCCACAAATAAGATTCCTTGAAAGCTAAGAGACTGACAGACTTGTGCCCGAATTGCTAATAAATTCGAACTTTTGAACTATTTTGTATGTTGTATGACCGAATTAAAAAACAAAACTATGAAATGTGGTCCAAAATAGAACGTATTTACGGTTCAAAGCGTCGTAATAGGAATTTATTGCAAAAAGTTGCAATGAATAAGGACAAATTACTGCCCGTCAAACGCCGAGTTAGTGACAAAAAAAAAGTTCATAATCTGTCATCACTGACGACCCATTGCCAGTAAACACGGCTCTACTAACTTCAACATCATTTTTCAGTGGCTACTGACGCTTTTTCAAAATGGCAAATGGAAAGACTTTAATGGTGCGAGTCAATGGAATAGTGGGAGTCATAGCGCCTCGAGTCAGGCCATTGGCGCCCATGGAGGGGTAATTCATTAAGGACTGTGACTATAGACACGGTTTGGGCTTGACTACAGAGGCTGTGTTGGGAGTGACTAGACAACTTTGTTAACAATGTTTTATTTGTCAACAATGTCAACATACTTTTATTTTTAGAAGAAAGGGGAGGATGGGGAGAGTAACATTTGCAGTCTGCCTTAGCCATCTGGAATTAAACTTTGATGAACATTGTGAGTAACAGCTGGTGGTAGACAGAGATGGCTTCAGACGGTACTGATGTGTTAGACAGAAACATCTAGCGACAGGGAGGCTGTCAACAGGGAGAGCTATACAGACGGTACAGAGACGGGAGCAGAGAATAACAAGGAGTAGGAACCGGACGCTTACAAACAGCCCAACTTTCTTAAGACATTCATCAAGAACTATCTCTCTCTCTCTCTCTCAACAAGGGGCTGAACAGCATGCAGGAAATATTTCTTGCGAGACTGCTCCAAAGTTAGTTTGCACACCCTCCCGCAACGACTACTTCTCAGGAACTGTTAGAGAAGGAATTTAGTGGACACTTTAGCAACGCTGTTTAGTTTCTTTGTCTAGTGTTTCTTGCTTGTGAATTTGTGTTTCTTGCTTGTGAACTTGTGTTTCTTGCTTGTGAACTTGTGTTTCTTGCTTGTGAACTTGTGTTTCTTGATTGTGAACTTGTGTTTCTTGCTTGTGAACTTGTGTTTCTTGCTTGTGAACTTGTGTTTCTTGCTTGTGAACTTGTGTTTCTTGCTTGTGAACTTGTGTTTCTTGCTTGTGAACTTGTGTTTCTTGCTTGTGAACTTGTGTTTCTTGCTTGTGAACTTGTGTTTCTTGCTTGTGAACTTGTGTTTCATGCTTGTGAACTTGTGTTTCTTGATTGTGAACTTGTGTTTCTTGCTTGTGAACTTGTGTTTCTTGATTGTGAACTTGTGTTTCTTGCTTGTGAACTTGTGTTTCTTGCTTGTGAACTTGTGTTTCTTGCTTGTGAACTTGTGTTTCTTGCTAGTGAACTTGTGTTTCTTGCTTATGAACTTGTGTTTCTTGCTTGTGAACTTGTGTTTCTTGCTTGTGAACTTGTGTTTCTTGCTTGTGAAATTGTGTTTCTTGCTTGTGAACTTGTGTTTCTTGCTTGTGAACTTGTGTTTCTTGCTTGTGAACTTGTGTTTCTTGCTTGTGAACTTGTGGTTCTTGCTTGTGAACTTGTGTTTCTTGCTTGTGAACTTGTGTTTCTTGCTTGTGAACTTGTGTTTCTTGCTTGTGAACTTGTGTTTCTTGCTTGTGAACTTGTGTTTCTTGCTTGTGAACTTGTGTTTCTTGCTTGTGAACTTGTGTTTCTTGCTTGTGAACTTGTGTTTCATGATATAGAACGTAATTGTTCTTGTTATCGAGCTATGTGGTCCCTGAGCTTGGCTGCTGAGTGTTTATGTTGGACTTGTCTTTGCCTCGTGTTATCTTAGGGGGTTTAAGGGAGAATAAATATTTACAGTTTGGTTATTGGTTTGTTGTTTGTTTTTTCTTTGTTGTTTGATCAGTTTGCAGCTTGGATCGTCACTTATTTTTGTTGTTTGATGTTTTTTGAGATTTTGGAACTTTTATTTGTTGACGAATTTGATCAAAGGTCAAGTTCGTCAAATAAATTCATGTTTACCTTTGTAAATATAAAACCAAATTTTGCCAAAAATTTTGTTTTTTTATATATTTTGTTTAACTCGCACTGCATAATTGATTTTTTTAAGAAAACAATATAGACTTGTAGGCACGATGATGATAACCCGTGCGTGCGCACGCACAAACACACATGCTACGTAGGTATATGAGGTACAAGGAGATACTACGGAAATTAAACCTCACGTCACTGGGAGACAGAAGAGTTAGAGGGGACATGATCACCACATACAAGATTCTCAGAGGTATTGATAGGGAAGATAAAGACAGTTTATTTAACACAAGGGCCACACGCACTAGGGGACACAGGTGGAAACTGGGTACCCAAATGAGCCACAGGGACATTAGAAAGAACTTTTTTAGCGTCAAAGTAGTTAACAGATGGAATGCATTTGACAGTGATGTGGTGGAGACTGACTCCATACACAGTTTCAAATGTAAATATGATAGAGCCCAGTAGGCTCAGGAATCTGTACTCCAATTGATTGACAGTTGAGAGGCGAGACCAAAGACGCGAAGCTCAACCCCCGCAAGTACAACTAGGTGAGTTCAAACACACACCTACCATCCCCCCCCCCCCCCCTTTTCCACATCCCCCCCCTCACACAGTTTTAACTCTCCAGGAGTTAATTACACACTTCACTTACCGAACATATAACTCTGAAACACATTTTATAGCTCTAAAAATTTGCTACTCTAGGCAATCACAGTGTCAGAAGTCATCCTGGAAAACAGAGCTTCAGGGCCAAAATTCATCAAGCATTTACTCAACCAAATGCGAAACCAGTACATCCTTTCTCGTCATTTTGTTTAACAATTTAAGGTGAACGAGGTTGTTTAAGATAATAATATCCTTGGGTTGTGAAGTTCCAAGCTCGTCAACTGTTCCCTAGATGTAAACACAGCCCCCATGATTGTTCAAAGATGTAGAGGTTCCGTAAGTGGTGGATTACATGCTTGATGACCAGGCCAGGCTCCATAATACGGCCTTAGAGCTCACGTCTTCCCTTCACTAGCAGACACTAACGCCGCCGCACTAGCTGTTGACACCAGTTCTGAGTTGGCCTGAAAGCTGTCTGCTAATGTGCTGAGTGTGAAATGTTCGATTGGTGCCGTATGAGTAGTTTCCGTGTTCTGTCATCATCATTATCATCATCACCCTCACTTTCATCATCATAGTCATAATCATCATCACTGGTCGTATACATACCTCGGTTCGTCATCATATTTTTATGTGTCCTCCCTAACACAGCCCAGCATGACCCACCTTAACCCAGCCTCATCTAAACTAACAGAAACCAACCTTACTATAAGCTAATCCAGACAAATCTAACCTAACCTGGCATAACTTACCATAACCTAACCCAGCCTAATCTAATCTAGCAGAACCTGCCCCCTAACATAACCTAGCCTAGTCTAATGTAACCTAGCAGAGTCTAGCCTAGCTTAATCTAATCCAGCCTAATCTAATATACTAGAACCTAACTTAGTATAACCTGATGCAGCATTATATGATCTAGCAGAGCCTAATCCATCGAAATTTAATTAAACATAATCTAACCTAGCAGAAAATAACCTTGCATAATGTAACCGAGCCGAATCTAACCTATGAGAACCTAATTTGGCATAACCTAATCCAGCCTAATATTAATCTAGCAAACCTTAACGTATAACAACCTAATCAGCCAATTCAAAACTAGCGGAATCTAACCAAGCCTAACGAAATCCTCCATCCTAATCTTACAATTTATACAGTTTTACTAAAGGAAACCAGCTATGTGCGGAACACCTGTGAACGATTTAACAGAACTCCATCACAAAACACTTGAACACGACAGAACCCCAACCCATAATATATTTAGGACAACAAAACTCTATCGCAAATTTGCTTAGGTTTGTAGAACTACAACTCAGATATTTTGAGACGACAGGTCTCCAATTCAAGAATTTTAGGAGCGACTGAACCCCAACACAAAGACTTTAAGAACGACAGAACTTCAGTCCCAAAAATTAAGGCCGAAAAGAGTTCAGTCAAAAAGTTAAAAAATTAAAGGTAACAACAATTTTAAGGATGACAGACCTGCAATTCGAAAAATTTTACAACAAAAATATTAAAAAAAATTAAGCTGACAGAACTCCAACCTAAAATTTTTAAGGAAGACTGAACTCCATCTCAGACACTTTTAATGGCGACAGAACTGAAACCCCAAATTGGTTAGGACGACAGAACTCCACCACAAAAGTTTTAAGAAATATAACTCCAATTTACAAAAAATGTTTAATACAACTCCAATTTACAAAAATGTTTAATACAACTCCAAGTTACAAAAATGTTTAATACAACTCCAAGTTACAAAAATGTTTAATACAACTCCAAGTTACAAAAATGTTTAATACAACTCCAAGTTACAAAAATGTTTAATACAACAAAAGTCAAACATTTTAACGAAGACAGAACTCTAACAAATTTTATTTTTAGGGTGACAGACTCCAGCACTAATATTTTTAATGAAGACAGAACTCATACCCAATTTTTTTAAGATGACAGAACCCCAATCCCCCAAAAAATTCAGAACGACCGAACTCCAACCAATTTAATTTTAGGACGTCAGGAATTAGTAAAGAAGACCCAATCAACAACAACAACATCGATACTAGAAGATTCTACTAATCGTTGTCCACCAAGAAAGTCTCGCGAGATGAGTAGATTCCAAGTGAATTTATTGACACATACTCAAGCTGAAGCTTTCAGAAAAACGTCGTAGCTTTTTGGTTCAAAAGGCGTGAGGGATGAACCTTGTCAGAGTAGAGCCAACAGCACCTGATTGGTTTGATGTTGAGCTGAAGGCCTATAAATCTCTCGAGGATTATTAAGGCTAATCACCCTCTCAGGGGTTATTGAGACTTATAAGTCTCCAAAGGGTTATTAAGGGCTATATCAACCTCTGGAGATTTACCACAGCAGCTTCCTGATGGGTTTAAGTCCTATCAACTTGCGGAAGGTTATTAAGGCCACCACAACAGGTTGCTGACAACCAGTAAGTTTACCGTAGTCCCGAACATAGTCCAGGACTGAAGTATACTCTCAGTGTATACACCCCGAGTAGCACTGCACTCTGTGTGTATACTCTGTCGTATGACTGTACGGTGTGTGTGTATACATTCTCGCCCTGAGCTGGCAACACTGCCTGTACAGCTCTCCAGGTTACTTATTGTGAAACTTTTTAATTGTTGTTTGTAAAAGTACAATTATTGATGACTTAAGGCGTCATACCCTGAGCCATTGTTGATGATCAGCCAAAGTCGATGAATTAATAATTGCAATAAAATGAAATATGGAACCTGATTCTTGCATGCGTTCATCTCACTCTCACTGACTGTCTGTCTGTCTGTCTCTCTCTCTCTCTCTCTCTCTCTCTCTCTCTCTCTCTCTCTCTCTCTCTCTCTCTCTCTCTCTCTCTCTCTCTCTCTCCTCTCTCTCTCTCTCTCTCTCTCTCTCTCTCTCTCTCTCTCTCTCTCTCTCTCTCTCTCTCTCTCTCTCTCTCTCTCTCTCTCTCTCTCTCTCTCTCTCTCTCTCTCTCTCTCTCTCTCTCTCTCTCTCTCTCTCTCTCTCTCTCTCTCTCTCTCTCTCTCTCTCTCTCTCTCTCTCTCTCTCTCTCTCTCTCTCTCTCTCTCTCTCTCTCTCTCTCTCTCTCTCTCTCTCTCTCTCTCTCTCTCTCTCTCTCTCTCTCTCGCTCTCTCTCCAAAAGTAGCGAAATTCAAGCCAATTGTTTCCCTGGGAAGTGTCAATCGAGGGATAGTTAGCCAATTTCATCCACTTGGACTGTTCAGCAGATTGATAGCCTCGCTGAGTGCAGAGTCGGCGTTCGCGCACCGATGGTGGTGGGGGGGGAGGGGTGCACCGTGTCTTCACTCAGTCTACAAATCCAAGTTCCTTGTCCTCGTATCCTCATACCCTAGCTCCTTGTTCTCATATCCTAGTTCCTTGTTTTCATATCCTAGCTCTTTGTCCTCACATCTCAGCTCCAGGTCGTCATATCCCAGCTCATTGTTCACATATCACAGACCATTATCATCACATATCACATCCTAATCCTCATATATCAGCTCCTTATCTTCATCTCTCAGCTCTTTGTCCTCAGCTCCTTCTCCTCATATTCCAGCTCCTTGTCTTCATATTTCAGCATCTTGGCCCATCATATCCCATTTTGTTGTCCTCATATTCCTTCCAACTCCTTAGCCACATATTGCAACTTATCCTCATATCCTAAAGTCGTTGTCCTGATATCCCATGTATGAAAGACACGAAACTCTTTGGTCTCGGTGGCCACCATATCATCTACTCCGGTGTATCGGGTCATGATGGGAGCCGACCCTTCCCTTCAAGGCGACGATGGGGCTGACCCCGACCCTTCCCTTCAAGACGACGATGGGGCTGACCCCGACCCTTCCCTTCAAGACGACGATGGGGCTGACCCCGACCCTTCCCTTCAAGGCCACGGTGGGGCTGACCCCGACCCGCCTGTGACAATCCACTAACATCCACCAGTCACCCTGCGCAAGTTACCTCATTATGTTACTGAAGTTTCGCTTTAACGTGAATGACAATATGATACATAGAGAGGTGACGTGTACATTGAGACGGAATATAAGTCAATAAGATACAGTTTCCTAAAATGCAAATGCCTTAATG